TTTCAGCGTTTATTAGCAATGACGCGACTCATGGAGTTCGCATCACTGGCCAGGAAAGTAGCAAACTGAAAGACTAATTGGTTTCTTTCAAGGCGCTCTTACAGCTCCCTAAAAATGCCGCTGGCTTCTTTCAAACTCGGTGGCAACTTACAAGAGTACTGGCTTCGGCGGGTTGGTAGCTATTCATTGTTACGTTTTTGCGCACTGCTTAAAAGACAGACATATAAAAGACGAGAACTGCTCAAAAGACCAACAACACTTTGTGTGGTAAGAGAAAGGCGAACCCTATCTTCTTACAGGTAACGGACAGACGCTCCTACATTATCCGCATTAGCTCCTAATGTTCAAATTCAAGACTAACACCTTCTAGTTTCCGTAACGTCGTGAACTTTTTGTAGCAAAAATCAGGTGCGCCAAGAGTATTATATCCTTCATTTTAGAATGAACAGCGTTTTAGATTTGTGAAAGTGGTCACGAATGTAGGTTGGAACAACCTGATAGACGTTTAGGAACGCATGCATGAATATTTCTTTTCTGAGTGAAACACATTTCCTGAGTGAAACACATATTCTCATGTGTCATCACAATGTTTATGCAGTGCATTTTGGCAATTTAGTGTTTTCTAACACTGTCATAATTACAGCAGTTCAGTCAGCTTGCATGTGCATGCTTCGCATAACATTGCTCTCCAAGGTACGTGGCATCTGCCATTTTTTAAGGAGTTACGAGACTTGGGGTAGCTCTGTGGTAGAATAGTTTGTTGCCACGCATAATACTGGGGTTATATTCCTGTTAGGAACCTGAAATTGTTGCTTTGCATTCGTCGGATCAACGCTGCCGATGTCAGGTTTTTATTAACGCTCATGAGTTAAAATTGTTCCTGTATGTTGTCGCCGTTCTTGAGTAGATATGAAGTGTCAGTCATCTATGGCACAAACCTGCAAACTAGTGGCAGTTGCCGGAAAGTGTTAGACTACGTACTAGACAAGATTGTGACATTATTCATGTGTTGACAAGGGCGTCGTATTAGTCAAACCATCTTAGCCTCCCGTACAGTTTAGTGCAAGTTAAGGGGATAATCACGTGAGCTACGAGACTTAGGTGGATAGGTATACAGATATATCAATTGGCAGATGCGCAGGTAGACGCCAAAAGTGCTTAAAGAACGCAGAGAAATGTTTCGCATTTAAAACTTTGAAAACACGGTATCCTAGCTACAGTACAGGAATGCCTCTTCCACCAAAAAGTGCTGGGAGCTTTGAACTTGTAGCAATGCTGCTGCGAACACAAGACGAGGATTTCGTGTAACAGACTGATAATGTCGCCCAGCTAGATCAAATGGCTAGACCTTAAGTAGTACTTTTTTACGTAGAGTGGGAGAAAGGCTAGCGAGGTAGATGTTTCTATGCATATTCATACACGAATAAACGGGAAAAGAGAAAATAATTTCCAGCTTGACATTTCGTCCGCATACCATGCCTCCTTTTTAATATTTGCAGAGCGTTCTTAATTTACTTTTATTTTGTGCAGAGCGAAGAAAAAAACTATCATAATCGTCACGCGCTCTTTTCGTGACCGTCGTCCTCTTTGTTAACTTCAATTTCTGCTTCGATCGCAAAACACCTGCGGCCGTATGATCAGCGTGGGATTTGATAACTCCAATGGATGAGAGAATGAGTGCAGAGAGTGAAAGGGAGAGCAAATGAGGGACACAACGACACTGAGAGGAATTCTTGGCAAAAGAAGTTTCTTGGCTCGATTCGAATCAGCGAGCTGAAGGCAAGCGTCGTAGAAATAGAAAGAAAAAACCAAAGCAAAGCCATTAAGTGTAGCCAGGTTGAACATGGCTTGCTACCCTATACAAAAGAAGGGAGAGAAAAAGAATAGAAAAGGAAGGAGAGGTAAAGTAATACACTAGCATGCATAGCAGTGTGTACCGCGCATGGCTAGAAAGTCATGAAACTGAGAACTTTTACAAACTATTTGTTGTCTTCGACTGTCTTAGATGAAGTACACTGCAATCCATGATGTTAAATTAGGCTTGCAAGGAATGGCTTCAAGGTACCCAGGCGTTGCAGTGCCCTTCGAATTCATGGTGTAGTGAATCCAGTGAGGAGTGGTCGCATTGTGCTGGTCACTGATCTCAACGCAGCAAATAGACGCCGGTCTTCGTCGCGGAGATCTTTATAGTCGAATCTTGTGTCCTCATTCTGTGGGCGCGCTGTTGGGGTAAGAACGGTCACTAGACATCCACCACCACCTTCCTCCCCTTCGCGTCTTTCAGGCTCTCTGAGTGCAGTGTGTTAGTTGGTGGTAGTGATGGTGGCGGAGACAGTGGTGGTAGCTACCGTGAAAGAGAAAACTGGTGTTGCCTAGACCTTTATCTGACATTATCAGAGGATTGTTTGTGTGTGGATTCATTCGTTACGATATATTTTAATCCCTTCATTCCTTGTTCACTGCCAGACAGTCTCTTGATGAAGCTTCATGCAATCCGTGGTAGTTGGGACATGCCAGTATCGTTTCTCGGCAGGATTCCACACTGTGGAGCTCCGCACTTCGGGGGCAAACCACCACGTTCCTGCAAATCCCGCTCACACGACCCATTATCTGACACTTGTTGCATTGTAGTGGTTTCAGTGTAAACAGACGAACCACTCGGCTATCCAGGCACGCTAGCAGTGCATAGCATGGTTGAGTATATTAGAAAGTCTTGTGTGGTTTAGTATAGCAAGCGTGTGGCAAAAGGAACTGAGGGCAAACAGGAAGAAAATGAAAAGAGGATAGAGGAAAGCGTATCGTGAAAAGAAAGATGACAAGAGAATGAGAGGCAACTCAAGAAATGAATACGAACAAGTATAGAGAAAAAGTGGAAAATAACGAGAAAGAGATGGAGAGAAAAGGGCAAAACTTAAATAAAGACAAAAATTCCGACAGATAGTGAGAAATAGACGAAGAGTGAAAGAAAAAAATGAAAGTGGAGACAGACGTGGCTTAAAAACAAAAATGACAGAATAATAAAGAAGTTAAGAGAGCAAGACCAAATGAGAAAAATGAAGAGAAACAAGGAAGGTCGCCCAGCTCCGCACTTCTTTTAGGCTTGCAACCGGCCGTGAGAACCTGCCTCGTTTTTTTATGCCTGTATTCGTAAATCCCTGATTGCCTTCAGAATTCCTTCGCGCTTGATGGAAATTTTGAATTGCGCGGAGAATAATGGTGCGGTGAGCACATTCAACGTATGGTGATATTAGCATATCTCAGTTGTTTCTGTCCAAACACATCTAACAACGTAGCGACGACGTGACAAAGGGCTTTAATAGTCAAGACACACCTTGTTCAATAAAAAAAACAAGAAACACTTTGACCTGTGAGGACAGCAGGAACAAGAGTTTCAGGGTCATTTCAGTTTTACAGAACCTCCTAACTGCAACTTACATAGACTATATAGTGGTCTGTGCGATTCGCCAGCTGGCTTCATTATTTAATTGTCCAGCCTGAGTATGATACATACCTAGTCGAGATAAACAGCGCAAGAAATGAAGACCGCAAGACACAAACAAAGGAAGAAACAGCGAGAAAAACGAAGAAAGGAAGAACACAAGACAGTGCTCGTTTTGTGTCCTTCCTTCTCTCTGTCCTCGTTTTTTCACGCTGTTTACCTCGACTAGCTACGATTGGTTACCAACTTGCCCAGGTTTCAATACTATTCAGCCTCCAGATAAGTTGGAATTATGACTAAAATAAATATCTTATTGTCAGTTTCTTTTTCTATGTGCCTTGTAACTTAGTATAAGAGCACACGTTGTTGCAAAGCTATGTTGGAGCAATCTAAACCTCGTATTTTTTTACCTGTTCAGTCATTGTGCAAGGTTGTGGAAATGGAGTAAGACAGGCTTTGCACACGTCTGTCTCCGAAATTAGACCGTTGTTTCAGATGCGTGTACCAATCATCAATTTTTCGCCTAATGGGTGTGTTGCAGGTTGTGGGCAGTGCTTTTGAAGATTTTGCTCTTTTGTCAGAATGCAGCAGCTGCCTAAATTGTTTGTAATATTTTTTTCTAGAAACTTTAAAAACCAAACAGAAAATATGTGTTGCGAAGGCAGAGTGTTTTGCATTTTTTCTTTTAAGATATTTAACAAGCACACTAAAAGATAGTTGCGTATGCCAAGACAAATGATTGCTTTGCAGACGCTCCTGTAGCCTGTGCTAAACAGTGTTAGCTGTACACTCGAGTTAATCATATTTGATTAGGTGCAATTATTATGTTAAAATGTTTTTGCGTACTAAAAATGTGAAATTTACTAACTAAAAAAGCCCATGGGACGGCTCGGCTGATAAGCTATAGCTAATAGCTACTAGCTTCGATGCGTTATTTCCAGTCCATCAGCTTAGTTTGACCCCTGGATAGACCATTTACAAACAATCCTTTTTTTGTCTCTTTCTCTTGTCTTTGCTCTCTCTCTCACTCTTTATACTCCCTCTTCCCACTCCCCCAGCGTATGGTAGCGAACTGAAATTGTGCCTTGTTAACTTCCCTGCCTTCTCTCTAGTTGTTTTTGTCCACCTCCTCCTGGATAGAGCAGTGTGAGTACATAACTGTAGATGGACCATATAGGAATACAAATGATAAATATCAGGCATCAGATTTGGTTTTGTCACTTGCCTTGTGTGCGTCATATGAACGTTTTGGTTATCGGTTTAGTTATAAGAATACGTTTCATTAAGGCCAATTCTGCTGAGCATCGCATTCGAATATTGTCTAGCTAGCGCTACGGTGCTGCACCTGTGACCCTGTGTGACATACGCTTGTCATGATTGCACGTCGGGTTTGCTTTGCTCTCAACTGACGCTCTTTGTTGGAGTAGATGAGTCTCAATGTCTAACCTGAGCGTACATGTGCGCGCTAGCAATGTTTGCGGGCGTCACATTTATCTTCCAACGGCTATGATGACATTTCAAGCTTCTCGTTACCATGTACACATCATCACATTTCAGATTTTCTCCGCAAATTCTTAAGGAAAGCTACAACAAAAGGCGGTGTACCGTAGATACCAGAAAATAGGAGGAACACCGGATGAAGCACACGACAACGGTACTGTTCTTATGTGAGTCTCAAAAGATTCAATATCGGGAAGCTTGATCACTTTCAAAGCTTTTGTGGGAACTTTTTTTGTCTTAAAAAAAGAAAATTATGTAAAAAATAACAGTCCTTTGAAAATTATTGTTCTAAAAAGTATTTGTTCATATTTGAAATATTGCAGGCTTCGCGTTGGCGGCAGCGCTTCATGAACCATGTGGTCAGTTCCCGACAAAGATCACAGCTTTGGTAAGACAAAATCATTCTCTCTTTGTGTTTTACACAACAATGTACTTGAAGCAGCAAGAAACACACACGCACACACGCACATGAGCATGCACAGTGCCTTCCACGAAGGCCTGCCCTATAATCATATTGTGGTTAGAAGTATTAATGCAAACACTCGGGCGAGAAAATTACCATAGTCCTTCATGTCATTTAGCACTTTCTTGCACAGTTGCGCTGTGAAGTATTTTGTAATCTTACTCTGACTACGATTATATTTATGGCTTTTGTGTATAAAAGTACGACAAGTGGTTCTCTCTGCAAGAATGCCCTAACATCGAAGGAACAAATTTTTTGTTAATTATACGCACGCAAAGAAAATAACACTTTTGATGCAAGGGTAATAAAATAAGAATGAGCATGAAATGAGAATTGTATATGAGGTAAGGCTGGCAGCCAACCCTTCTGGATCGGATCACGCGTTGACTTATCGAAACACCAGCTTGTGAGAATAAGGGCGCTAAACTATTTTCATGTTCACAGACCGCTAAACGCGAAGTAAGCATCGACAGCACAGGAAGCTTGCGGTCCGTCTCCTAATATCTGCCCTAATAGCGTGCGTGAAGGTGTATTGACATAAGGAAAGGTCGCATGCTGCTGTAACGACACGGCATACCTTCCTCCTCCCCCGCGCTCCCCTTTTTATTCGGTGACTTGCTTTCACGCTTTTGAGCTTGATGAGCCATTGACTCCTGGCCGCACACGCACAACGATGTTATCGCATTCGCCCTTTTGGCGACAGAGACGACAGGTTCTTTTCGGCTCCGCGTAAGTCGCACTAATTCAGAGAGCTCGCGCACTTTTACAGACAAATAGAACACCCTGTAAAAAGAGCGATTTTATCGATTTGAACTTCATACATACCATGACAGTGACAGTGACGGAAAGCTCCCCCTCCCCAAGAGTATTCTTGTAATTGTTATCGCTAAAATTGAATAGAGAATGCAAAATGGACAAGAATCTTGAAAGATAAAAAGCATAAAAAAAGCACGTTAGCATCACAAGCTGCGAAAGGCATTGGACCACGATGGTGACGTCAGTGCGGAGAGAACAAGCCCTGTGATATGCAGCAGATTCGGGAGCTGGGCAAGTTTGTGGGCGTTAATCTTAGAATATTTTACAGCACAACGGGCTAGATAAGGATATGTGTCCTTTCTATATACGTATCCAACCCGTTGCACTGTACAATAGTCTACTGTGAGCCTCGCCGCGGTTGTCTAGTGGGTAAGGTACTTGCTTGCTGACCCGCAGGTCATGGGATCGAATCCCGGCTGTGGTGGCTGCATTTCCGGTGGAGGCGAAAGTGCGGTAGGCACTTGTGCTCGGATGTGGGTGCACGTTAAAGAACCCCAGGTGGTCGAAATTTCTGGAGCCCTTCACTACGGTGTCTCTCATAATCATATGATGGTTTTGAGACGTAAAACTCCACATATCAATCAATCAATATCCTATTGAGCCTACTATGAGATATATTTACAACGTGTTGGTAGTAGACACTGAACCTATTCTGTGTAGTCGATTTGCCATAACCAGCAACGATCTGCTGCGTTGGAGTAACAAACCAATGGTGTTCCCATACTATCGTTTTTTGAGTTTCATAGGAGAAATCACAGTGGTGTTTCGGATACGTACGTAGACTTCCAAAGACGTCCATCACTTGCGGCTGGTGAATCAATATAAATGAATAAATATTTGTTATGCGACGCCTGTAAACTATCTTACGTCACTGACACTTAATTTTCTAAAGTGTTTAAAATTTGCCAACGACGCAAAGGCATAATTTTGGCGCTTTCAATGTCAAAAATTCTGAATACCTATGCTGCGAATGCTCAGGAACATTTCAATGAAGTACGCGTGTGGTCTCCGTGAAGATTTTGATTGCATCGACAGGAAGAAACTCGAAGTCTATTGCATGCAATAATAATTGACCTGCACTGCGCTGCTACGCCTAACAGCCTTGTTTAACAGCTGCCTTAGTTTTCAGAAAGTAACGTTTTGGGTACCGATTAACGAGTCTTAAATACCGTACTGACAATTACACTAAGAAATATTACTGGGGATGCTTCGAGGCTGCGGCCTTGCTCCGCTAATCTCGAGACTACAGCGGTCCCATTTCGAAGAGGGCGAAACACAGAAACATTTAAGAAACATGCATGTACAGGTAAATTACGTCCGACTTAAGGTGGAATGAGCACATAAGTAACAATACTACATCTGCCACGGAAAAATTACTTTTTCTTCACAGATAACTTCGAACGGCAACCTTGCCAACAAAACTCCTAGCATACAAAATATTCGTCAGGCCGATCCTTGACTACGGGAGTAAAGTGTGGTTTCCTCATACCCGCACAAACATACAGAAAACTGAAGCAGTACAGAGCAAGGCCATACACTTCATCCACAACAAATACAAGCGTGAACACTCACCCACTAATCTTCTAACTCTTTCTTAACTTTCTATGCTAGAAGTACGCGCCAAACATGCACGTTTAAAATTTCTTTATCAACTGCTGCACAACTATTAAATAAAAACATTTCAAATTACCTGTCTTATTCGCAAACATGAGCCACAAGGCACAAACATAGACATACATTAGTACAATTCAAATGCAACACTAATGTGTTTTTATATTCTTTTTTCCGGTTGCCATCCATGAATGAAACATGTTTGCCCCTCACATCCCTAACACTGAGTCGTTGTATCCGTTTATGATCAAAATTGAAAAAAAAATCCTTAGCTTTTTTTAATGGTCAACGACATCAGTAATAAAGCCAGTTTGTATACTTGTATGATCGGTAAGTAGCCATGTAAGCAGCCTTATGGTTCAACATCCCATTTGGCATGCGCTTGTATTTTCTTCTATATCACGTTGTGTAATCATTGCTAATATGAGAAGTGCCAAGCTGATGTTGCTCTTATTTTTTTGTAATACTGATTTGTTACTATGATGCGCAATCATAGCTTCTCTACAATGTGCCCATCTGCTATGGTCTGAATAGAGACTGGCATTATTGCAAATAAAAAAAAACTAAATATATAATAAATAAATAAATAAATAAATAAATAAATAAATAAATAAATAAATAAATAAATGTGCAAATTAGGGAACTCCTCTGGGAAAGCGATTTCAGGACACCCCCGATTATTCCTATAGAAGCCTTTCAGGGTACATGCCTCTTTACATTTCTCAATAACTCTTCCCCGCAAAATATATCTTGCGAGCTCCTGTGACCTCGCAAGCACTGTTTTGAGACTATAGGGCAGCCTGTATTCGGAAGTGTTCATTTTATTTTTTTCAACTACTGGAGCAAAGAGAATTAAGTGGCCAGCAAAACGAAGGGGCAACTGATGGTGCAAGGATGGGCTTACAGTGGAGCATGTGAATAACCTAGCTTATTAGCAACGTCTTATTCAACATATATTTATTGACCTATTGTTAATAATATTATAATCACAAGGTCTTATTTAAAGTCCCCAGCATGGCCCTATTAGTTTGGCGTCAACATGGCCGGGGCTAGTTTGCTTGAAGTTTGCACCGCTTGTCTTCATTGGTTTGACTAAGCATATTCTGGGAATGCGGCGAGAAATCATAGCTAGGCACGCCCTTTATTCACGCTATGCAGTGCAACAAAAAAAAAATGAGCAGCTCCACCCTAAAGAATGCCTTGAGACAGATGGTCGTCTTCCATCGATAGTTGCGGTAATTTAACTGGAATAGCACTTACATGAACCACCCAGACGCACTTTGCCATGACGAAGCCGCCACCACGAGGTTTCGTACAGTGCATAAAGGCAATAACAATGCCCCTCGATTTGTGCGTTCAATCTGCAAGTGAGGGCACGTGAGGGCAACTAACGATAGCGACTGCAGCGCAGATGAAATGCAGCGGCTGCCCTCCATCGCTCGAAAAGCCCGTTGCGAATACCACAGGCGGCGGGGGATCGGTAGAGTGCATTCGCAAGTAATATTAATAGCGATCTTAGCAGACAAGTCACACTTTCCACATGCTGGGTTGTCACCTTATGGCAAGTTCGGTATGTTCGCGCTCAAGAGTGACCACGGCTGTGGTCACTTTTTCTTACGCCGGTTACAAAGCTCCTTTCGCAGAAATGGCGATGTCGGTGACGGTGTCTTTCGTTGTGAGCAAAAAGTTTATGTTGTACGCAAGCCAATATTCGAGGCAGATGCGAATAAAGCCAATAGTTGGATGGCGTATGCACCATAGCTCTTTTGTCGGCAGAGTTTAGAATCACCACCGAGAGGCGCAGTTAGACTAGCGATTCTGAAAGTGTTATGAACACGGTTTCAAAACGTTATTGCATTCTGCTTTCTTGCGTGGCAGCTGGAAGAGGTGAATCATGCCAGGCGTAGTAACATGTAAATTGCGTAGCAAGTTGGTGTTTTAAAGGCACGCCTATCACATTGCGCTCCGAACTAATCATGACTGTCAGCACCAGCACCAACCATATGAGTAACTGTGCAGATGCGCGAGTTGCCTTGCGGACCAGCAGAGGGCCTCTTACCGATTCGGGAAATAAAAGAGAGTCGTGTTGAGGGCGCACTTCGCAACTATACTTGCAAGGAGCATTCAAGAATAGTTTGAAACGGCCACTTACATGCAAAGACGTTAGTTTCCTTGCGGCATAGTTGAGACATTTTCGAGACATTTCAGAAGCAGATGCACACGGGGCCCGAATACGTTATTAAGTTCTACTCTTCAGGGTGAAGCTCAAATATCCTCAAGGTTTTTGTTGAGTTATGCGAAGTATAGTGCGTACCTTGAATGTGCTGGGACGTGATGGCAGAAAGACAACTTGTGGTCTGGATGATGATGATGATAATTCCACAGCCGTGCTGTGGTCTGGAACGCGCTTGTTCTTCATCGTCACCACTGTCATCGTCATCGGGGAACAATGGCAGACATCGCTCGACCCTAAAGAGCTTCGCCCCTAAAACTAGCTTACAGGTTTATGACAGAATGCCAGCTTTATACAACCATCCGCACTCAACGGAAATTTACTAAACCTACCATCTCCGGAAACCGTTGATTTTCCAAAGAAGGATAAGTTGCTTCAGAGAGAGCTTGCACAGACGTGGTAGTTAGACATACAAATCGCCGGGAGCCTAATCACGGTTCTCATTTTCCACAGGACAACAGCACATGTATTCCGAAAGTCTACCGGGGAAAAGTTGACGGCTTCACACCATACGATAGTGGCCAGGAACAAAATTGCACGTCAACAGTGGTAAGCTACTTCACGAGTATTCAATATTCAGATAATGAATAGTTTCAGAATAACCTTTGCTACTTCTAGCAAGTCTATTAATTTGTAATGAAATCAAGTTCAAAATGAATTTCTTCGTTCGTTTTCGTGAGTAGGCTTAAGGTGAACATTATTTCAGCTAGCACGCTTAATTTCAGGCCTACACAATCTCTATCAACCATAGCCTCAGTGGTTCGAAGTAGTGCTTGTAAGAAGTCACACTGTGACATATTATGCTTTGTAGTTTTCTATTCGCGTTTCAATCGTCTATGAGTGTACTTACAAAAGTACCGTTGTTCCTATTGATGAAGTGCGCAGTATAATATTATGGTTCTGCTGTTTACATTTATGCGGATATGTACAGATGGGGGAGGGAGTCAAAAGCTCGTAGACCACTATCCTATGGATTCCTAACGGAAGATGGCCTGCAAATTTTCTACCAGCACTGTAAGTCCTTAAGTGATACAGCAGGCGCGGACGCAGAGTTCCTGTATTGGTGTTTCAGCGTGTTAATCTTACAACCTACGGCAATGCTCGTTTTAAATCACTTCTGAAAGTAGAATCTGCCTCTCCGGCTGTCCGTAGAACTCTGAATTTTCGATAAAATTCGAAAAAAAGCAGACAACTCGTCGGTAAAAGTTTCAACAAGGGCAGCTTGTTGGTAACAAAGAGAATGGTTTTATAGATATCAGCAAGCTACCCTTGTCAAAATATATACCGGTGAGTTATGGGCTGTTTGTGCACTGTAATACTGTATACTGTGTGGTGGGCAAAACAAAGAAATAAAGAACAAAAAGGGTAGCTTTCTCACATTGTCGGTGTAATACGTTTATAAACTTAAGCACAGTAACAAATTGACGATATTCAGCGATCCGGCTGCGAGTGAAACTTTGTCGAACGTTAGTGCTTCTTCCTGTCCCGTCTTCCTCAGTTCAGTGCCGCGGTTTACCTCATAAAACCTTTGACAGTTCAGATTTATCCAATTAACTGTGATTTTATTGGCCATTATGACACTGTATGGTTGTTTGACAAACCCGAGTTCTATTTGGTCATTGACACTTCTGCCAATTTGGCTATATAAACATTAACTCATGTCAACAATATTTCGTAGCCCTCACCCACCACACATTTAACAAATGGCTTGTGGCGCCCAGCGTGCGAGACGTCAGCGTATGTAGGCCTGTGCGAGCACGAAATGACATCTCAAGCTTCTTGGACGTAGGACCCTCATGATAGACTTGCAAGTCGCTCAGCACTGTAATGTCCTATCAGTTGGCATGTTCATACAAAACATTCTCGATAAGCCTGGAAAGGCTTTAGCCGACGTAGTTGTTTTGCGCTCCGGTTCAGTTTCTTGCATGCAGAAGCATCACAGACTTGCAACCCTCCAACCTCAAAAATCTGCCACTTCATTTCAAAGACCCGTGAGACATATACTTAACAACACTCTAGAGAATGAAGTTACACAGAATTAATTCAGGTGGTTCATGATTTTTGTTGGTCACTCTCCTGCCCTGTTGGAATCGTGGTGGGAGCTGTACGATAAGATTGTTCCTGTATATACCGTCATGCACATCACTTTGAAGTCACCAAAAACGGTATGCCCGTCTAGATGCTTCTGTTATTAATAGGCTATAGAAGATGTTCTGAGTTACTGGTTTGTCGTTCTTAAGAAGCAGCCGTTCTATCCGAATGAAGTGCGAGACGTTATAGATTGTAGCTTTTACACCTGAAGTTGATCTCGACATGCTGATTGATTGATTTGTGCGGTTTAATGTCCCAAAACTATGATATGATTATGAGAGACGTCGTAGTGGAGAGCTCCGGAAATTTCGACTACCTGTGGTTCTTTAACGTGCACCTAAATCTGAGAACATGGGCCTACAACATTCCCGCGTCCATCGAAAATGCAGCCGCTGCCACCGAAATTTGACCCCGCGACCTGCGGGTCAGCAGCCGAGTACCTTAGCCACTAGACCACCGCGGCGGGGCGATTTCGACATGCTGATTAACCGAGCTTCTAAGATGAGCACGTGTGCTCTGCTATCAATCATTGAAAACCTTGGGGCGCAAAGCACCATGGTACACTAGGTTTACCCCATAATGAGGGTTCCTTTGTACGTTATACTCAGTCAATGGCGTGACCACTTTAGTTCTTCATATCATTTGTCACAAGCACGTTGACTGCTTCGACGGGAATGACCCCAAACGACTTTCGCAGACTCTCGTGGATACTACGCTTCTGAAAGGTACACAGACTGGGAGTTCAGAATAACCTTTGCGATCCATATCGACACAACAGTCAATCGTTTTTTTACAGTGTTAAAATTGTAAATTCCTATATGAAGCATGAGCAACCCGCTTGTCTGAAACCTATGAGCCAATTTTAAACTCGGTTTTCTTGAAACGGAAGAAATCAGCCAGCTTTTAAGTAATATCTACAACAAGCAGAGCTACGAAAATCAGTAACATTGTTGAATCCCTGTCGTTTAAAGGAATTCACATTGTACGATGCCAGTTCATTCTCGACCCGCGCTGAGTTTCCTAATTCTGCCTGTTTCTAATTTAAAGATTGAAAGGACATTTTCATAGCTGGGAGTTTGAAAAACATAGCAAAGAACGCTTCCGTCAATTACGGGGAGCTTCAAGGTTTTCGAAGGCACAAACGTACATGCTTGGCGTTCAGGAATTCGTGATTCTATGTGCACGTGTTTATGCGTTCACACCTTCAAGGCATCTTCAGTATATTTCACATGTTGTGACGTTTTCGCGTTCATCTATCACACCATTTAAGGTGTTATTGTGTTAAAACTAAACGAAACTGAACTCTGAATTTTGGAGCGTGGGCGATTTGCTAAAATATACCTCGATAAAACCCTCATTTCCGGCCAAAAGCTAAACACCAAAAACATCTTTTGAATATGAAAAAAAAAATGTCAGCGTATCTACGGAGTGAATGATGAACAGTGGGGGGAAGCATCCGTCCGTCCTTTCGTTCTTGCTTCCGTCCGTCCATGCGTGCGTCTCTGTGGCCGCCCGTGCGTCCATCCGCCCGTCCATGCGTGCGTTTCTTCGTGCGTCCACACGTCCATCTGTGCGTCCGTCCCTGCGTTCATCCATGCATCCGCTCCTGCGCCCGTCCATGCGTCCATCCGTCCGTGCAGCCATCCGTGCGTTCGGCCATGCATCTGCCTGTGTGTCCGTTCGTGCACCTATTTAACGCTCCAATTACCACCATCTCGCATCAATTCATCATATATTCATCATATAGAAGCGCCGCCATCCAGCGGACATTCCCAGGACTGAACGAGACGAGGCACAGGCACACTTTCTTACGGCTTGCGCTTCGTGTCTACTTCCCACCTTTCACCACCTCGGGTTCAGGGTATATACTAGTCCACTGCATTCATGGCACTGCGGCCCAATGCTCGCTAAACCTTTCTAAAACCAAGGAGGTTACGCCCAGCGAATATAACGTAGCAACCCTTTCTTGTGAGATAGTGCGCAATGTACATGCCAATGGCTGTTAAGGGGGAATTATAGACATGAGGATTCGGCTTTTAGTTAACGCGCACGCTGCGAATTTTTTATTGTTCAACAACGCACAGAAGAAATCTCCCACCGGCACCACCTTGGAGATCAAAATGTAAGACTGATTACACACTATTACTATGACTACGAGGGACGAACGGGTGCCGTTATGAGGAGCTTCGCCCCTAAAAATTCAGGATGCACGAGATTTTGACTTCCCGCTTCTTGAGCGGAGGTACCTAGCACAGACTGTATTTTGCGGCCGCATTTGGTACCTTTCTCACGTCGTGCAACCATCTTTACGTATCGTGTGATCATTGCAGTCTGCTATGTGTTTCTTTTTTTGGTTAGGCGGCACTGAGTTGGTCTCTCGCGCGGCACTGGGACAGCAGCGTTCTCAGGGAGGCTTTGCTTTCCCTTCAGTGTCCATACGCTGTCGGCTGCTGGCACTGCGCTTCCTTTTGCGCCTAGTGCAAGGGGAGGAATCTCCCGCACGAACGCTGGCATATTACTTTCTGGGTACTCACCTTCGGCATTTGATGCCTAATGTGCAACTTAACAGGGGGCCACAGTCAATAACACTTCCTGCGTTTTATGTAACAACTGTTGCATTTTTTCGCCATGTCAAGTCGAGCTGTCCTGGCATAGATGTTTTGAACAACCACATAGTTGAGACAACTGCTGCTTTGTTGGTTCCGTTGGTCACGCCAGCCCGCCGTGCTCACTCTAGACGGGTGTCTTGGAGCACCTTAACGGCTTCTTTTCTGCCTGGACACCTCCGGGACTTCATGTGGTGCCTAGGATGGGGTGTGCTTCCCACTCTCGACCGCCTCGAAAGGTGGAGAATAGTCCAGTCAGCAACATGTCCGAACTGCTCCCTTCGGGAAATGAATCAGCATTTTCTGAGGCATTTTGTTATTGCTCGCATTTTTTGAAGAACCGTACATGCCAGATTTCACTGCCTCAGAGTGAATCGCTTCGTTTCTTGTGGGCCTTGTTCGCGACGCTGCTTCGCTTGTCTTCTCATTGTTGCCGGCTGTTTCTGCCTCTGGCGCAACCGCTGCGAGGCGGTTGCAGCGGGCCGCCGCCGCCGCGCGCTCTTCCCGATCCTAGAACGATTGTACTCGGAGCTGCTGTCTGTTTTGTCGGAGGAGCTCTTCTTCCTCGGTGAAGAGGAATTTCTTCGGCACTTGTCTCGCCCTTTTGTGTCGGTCTATGACGGACGAGTGAAACTCGTCTTTCGGCCGGCCTGGAATTGGTAGGCTGATCTGTCGATGCGCCGGCAGAAATGGCATGCCAACATGTAAATATGCAAAATGTACATATTTATCTTTTATTTGTGTCTTTTGTTTACCTTGAAGTATTTTTGTGGTTATGGTTTTGTGAACCATCGAATGTACATGTTCTTTCAACGTCATCTCATATCCATGTTCATGTAAATGACGTCTGTTTTGTCATCATCGTTAGAGTATGTCTAAGAAGGAAATGTTCTGTTAAGTGTTATTGACGTTTGTGAAAATTTTTTCTAAACGAAATGGGCCCCGAATCTGCATGTTACACTCCATATCTCGTCGAAAATTGATAGTCTTGCGTCTAGAGCGAGTGAACAAAACGTTTATTTGATGTTCTGCGCTAGAAAATTGGTGAATGGTATTCTGGAGGCGCTGCGTTAGTGCCTCGACCGTGTATCGGAGGCAAACGAGCTCATCGGGGCACGTTAGATACGAGCGCCATCTGGCAGTTCGAAAACAAAGAAAGGCATGCACGCCCGCGGAGAAAGATGCACGCTTGTCTCAGAGGTGATAAGGTGTAGAACGCAAAGCGACAGGCAGGTGCCACCACCGGGTCGTCTTAGCCAAGCGTTGGAAGAACTTACCTTCTTGAGCATCGCGTTGCACTGTCAGTGCAGCGTGATAAACACTGAGGTCCTGAGAATTGCTTGTGTGTGCCTTCTCTAGTATAAAGGCACGCATACAAAACATCGACATGTTGTTATGGTGCCTCAGATATGTGCAATATTTGCTTTTTATTTGAAAATCGCACAAGTATGAACGCTGAATCTTGAGCAATATTGGTGGGCGCTGCGGATGGGGTTGGCTTTTTGGTTCCGTTTGAGGTATCGGTAAGGGCAGACAAACATAAAAATGTGCAGACAGACAGAAAAACCAAAATTTTTCCGTGGAAGGTCCCCAAGAAAGACTATCGTCTTAAAAAAATGCAAGGACATGCAGCGATTTTCGGGATCCGACTTGTCCATCTAAACGTCAACACTATAGTTAATTGTTGCAAGAGTGGAGAATAGTTGACACCGTATTGATATATATTTGACAATATATCTTTTATGCAACATACTGATTAATCTTAAATGTGCTTGTTTCATTTCAGGAGGTTATGCTGAATTGCACCTGCCATAACGGTGACACCGTGTCCCAGCGGCGATACTGTGTCGTACGTTGAATCATGTTGCAACTTTTAGGGACGACGCTCCTTAGGCCGTGGGTCATTCCCTCCTCTGTAGTAGTAGTAGTAGTAGTAGTAGTAGTAGTAGTAGTAGTAGTAGTAGTAGTAGTAGTAGTAGTAGTAGTATGTAGCAACCTCTAGTTTGAGTTGCTCAATAGATCGCGTCGAGTGTATATGTCCTTAGGACTAATGTAACCATATAGTGTTAGTGGATTTCACAGCCTGTCCAGGAAGCAAATGATAATGTGGGGGCTGGAGCAAGCGTTCGACTATGCGTCCGTCCGTGCGTTTGTGCGTCCATTCGTGAGTCTGTCCACACGTGCATATCTGTTCGTCCGCGCGTCCGTCATTCGTTGCGTCCAACCTTCCGTGCGTCCGTGCCTCTGTCCGTTCGTCCAGTTGCACTGAAGGATACGCGGATGGATGGACGCATGGAAAGACAGACGAACGCTTCACCCACTCATCACCATTCACTGCATGGATGTGCTGTGATTTCTTTAGACTGATATATTAGTGACAACAAGGCTTTCACCTTGTGGCATCAACTCCAATTAATTTGGGGCAAAAAAGTCAGTAAACAGAGCACAGTAGCGTAAAAGTTTGCCTCACGTGTTACTGGTAATGAGTGAGACGTGTGTTGTGGTATAGTGATAGGAGGGTTTGCAGTATGCCAACGTGTGTGGGAAAGCTCACGGGCCACTAGCATGAGTGTCCTAGCATGGCACTGCATGCGCCTTATTGGTTGCCTTATTTTAAAAATAAAGGATCTCATTTCAACATATTCTGAAAGGAGGAAACTGGGTGGCACCATGGCTTTCAAATATAGCGAGGCTAGATTCCGCTAGGCACCTAAAACAGCTGAGGGATAATCATTATTCGCCTTATTTTTATTTACGTTTCTGACGCTAAATTTTGTAATTGCCGGAACTGCATAGCCTGTGAAAGAACATGCGATTTCTTCTAAACAGTCTAACAATGTGTTTTCATGGTTTTCAGCACGTCCCATTTGCCTAATTTTAAAGTGAATAGCTGTGTTTCCACTTAGACGTTTTTTTTTGTCACGCCAGCTGTCAATAATGGAGAGCGCATACAAAAGCAGGTGATTTTAAGGCTGAGCTCACTCGGCAAAACTAAATCCCCGTTGCAGAAGTATGAGGAAATTACCTAAACATAGGCGATTATTCTGCTTCTGTTAGCATATACCATGGTCTCTTAGTGGCAATCGCATCTGCTATAGCAGTGAGCTGTCAAAACGAGCTGATACTGTATAACCACCAAAAATTTTCAGAAATGTAGTAGTATACCACACAATGTACTTACAATAGAAATATACTTCTACCGACCCCGATTGCTACGGGTAGATAGCGCGAGAAGTATTGTTTCGGTGGTAGTGGGGGTTACTAGTTAACGTCTCCCGTGCGCGAACTTGTACCATGGCAAATTGTTAGCAAGCTTTTAGAGCACTTACCTTGATGTTACCTGGTTCGACTGTGGATTTAGACGTCACCATTTCTTAGCAGCACAACATTACGAGGACGGAAGATGACAATACAGCAAACGTTACAGTCGGATTGTGTGGCGATAGAAAATGTCACGTTTATGACTACAGCGCTAACTTCGAGGTGGACATGAGGGACTTGCAACTAGCTCGTAAGTGCTATTTTCAAGACTTAGCATGTGCTATTTGGTATTTTAGCTTTTCAATTATGATTTAAGTCTTTAAAATTGCATGACAAAAGGAGAAAGGGAGAGGAAACGTGTTCAGGTTAGCCTAATTTGACATTTACTACAAAGCTTTCTATACACCCAATACTATTCTCGGGTGGGTAACACAGCCATGAACATAGCTTTGAGTATGTAGTACTTTAGGAGGATTAATAAAGATATTCCAAGGCGCTTCCTTGCAATGAAGGTATACGTCTACCTTCTAGTACTCTAAAGCTTGCACTAGAAAGTATACCATAAGTTCACCTATTTTTTTTTTATAGATTTGAGGTATTCCTAATGCTAGCAAAAGTAGACTAAATAGAGGAAACTTCCGCAGTCGCTTGAGTAATGCTTACACATTTCAAAGCGGTGATAATAAACACAGGGTGTGAACAACGGAAGAGTGTTGCCATGTTTCAGTCATCATCCTGCGTCTCTATTTATTATAATGTAGACGCGTTCGCGGCACAATATAATAACGCGCTAGCGTTCGCTTTTTTATGCCGATGAAGCTTTTCGGAAGCGATATTTGGAGAGAGAGAGAGAGAGAGAGAGATAGAGATAAAGATACAAGGAAAGGCAGGGAGGTTAACCAGACGCACATCCGGTTTGCTACCCTGCACTGGGGAAGGGATAAAGAGGAGAAAAGAGGTTGCAGAAAGATGAGAAGGTACACACAATCACGAGCACACTCGGGGAGCACACACAGTTTACAGGCGGTCACTCAGGTTTGTTGACTTAAGGTAAAGTAGCAGTGCTTTAGTTGCTTTCTGCGCGACTGAGGCAGATGCCCAAGGTCCTAGTATCTTCTGCACACAAAATGGTCCGGGGTCAAGTCGATTCAAAACCATCCATAGCTGGCATCGCTGGGTGTCGTAGCAAGCGCAGCTGCACAGGACGTGTTCGATGGTCTCTTCATCTCCGCAGTAATCGCATGTAGGAGTGTCTGCCATACCAATGCGAAAGGAGTACACCTTTGTGAATGCAACACCCAACCAAAGGCGGCATAACAGTGTCGCATCGGAGCGGGAAAGTTGTGATGGTAGCTTTAGCTTGAGCGAAGGATCCAGTTCATAAAATTGACACCTTTGGAAGCTGGTAGACGACCAGAACGTGCGTGTGAGATCTCGAGCCAGCAGGTAAAGTTGTCTTGCTGCATCATTTCTTGATAGAGGAATCGGGACTACACGGGTTTCTTCATGGGCTGAGCGGGCTGCATCATCGGCTAATTAATTTCCGGTAATACCGATATGTCCAGGCAGCCATTGATATATAATATCATGCCCTCGTGCTAGAGCTTCATGATGGCAATGTCTTATTTCTTGTACCAGTTGGTCATGGCTCCTCCTACGCATGGCAGACTGCAAACTCTGAAGCGCTGCCTTCGAATCACAGAATATGACCCATTTTCCTGGACGTTCTTGAACGAGATATTGTAAAGCAGCTCTTATAGCAGCAAGCTCTGATGCCGTAGATGTAGTCATATGCGACAACTTGAACTTGATTGTCATTTCTGTAGCCGGAATTACAGCGGCACCTGATGAGCTGCTGGATGAGACGGACCCATCAGTGTATATCTGCGTTTGGTCTAAGTACAACTCATGTAATAATAGCAGTGTTGCTTGCTTCAATGCTACTCTGGAGTGACTGCTTTTCTTTTTGATTCCCGGAATTTCTAGACGTACTTGCGGCTGGTCGAGGCACCACAAAGGGCATGCCGTTCTCGCAGCTGGCGTGTATCCTGATGGAATGCTGTTTAGGTGTTTGGCTATGACGTCTGAAAACGTAGCACGTGGTCTTCCGGAAGGTAGAAGGGCCAAGTGGTGGTCGGGGACACGGCTAGCATGTCCAATGTGCGCTCAGAGGCAATCCACAACTATATATGTCCTGACCTGATGGTCTTTGGCAAGCGTGATTGTGGCATAAGTAGAAGCGCATCGGGGCAGTCCTAGGCAGATACGCAGTGCCTGACCCTGCAAACTCTCCAACGAATGAGTACTCGATTTGCAAGTGTTAGTCAGTACCGGCAAGCTGTAGCGCAATAGACCCAGAAATAGGGCCCTGTGAAGCTGTAGCATGGAGGCCACAGAAGTTCCCCATGCTTTACCGCACAAGAATTTCATGATATGCACAATAGATAGCAGTCTCTTCTTCAAGTACGCACAATGTGGGCTCCACGAAAGACTTCTGTCGATTATTATGCCCAGGAAACGATGCGTCCGTGCATATTTGACACTCTGCCCATTGATGTAAACAGGGTATGGCGTCATTGGTTTGCGTGTAAACGCCATCAACGCGCGCTTCGCAGTTGATATATTTAGGCCTTGTTTCTGAAGGTAGGCTGTTGTGAGGGTTGCTGCCCGCTGTATTCGTGCACGCACCTGAGGGCGAGTAACTGCAGCACTCCAGAGGCAAATATCATCGGCGTATATGGATAGGCACACCGACTTTGGCAGAACCTTCACCAGACCAACGAGGGCCACATTGAACAATGTGGGGCTTGAAACACCTCCCTGAGGTACTCCGCAGTAGGTGTAATGTTGGGCAGTTGTACCCTCATATGTTTGTACAAAGAAACCCCTGCCAGTTATATAATCTTTTATCCATTGAAACATTCGTCCACCAATGCCCATTGCTGCGAGAGAAGTGAGGATGGCATCGTGAGCTACATTATCATATGCACCCTTCACGTCAAGAAAGAGTGCCACTGATATGCGCTTGCGACTTTTTTCTTGTAGAATAAATGTCGATAAATCAAGGACACAGTCAATGGAGGAGCGGCCCCGACGAAAGCCTGCCATGCAAGAAGGGTATTTGGTGTATCGTTCCAAGTACCACTCGAGACCAAATAGAACCATTCTTTCCATCAGTTTTCCGAGGCAGCTTGCGAGGGCAATAGGGCGATACGCTGTCAAGTCCAATGGTAATTTTTCCGATTTCAAAAGTGGTATTAATCGACTAATTTTCCATTCTCGGGGACACTGCCACTGAGCCAGGAGTTGTTGAAGCATGTTAAAAGTTCTTTTCTAGCTTTTTGTCCAAGGTGTCCCAACGCACTATAAGTAATACCATCAGGACCTGGCGATGACATGCGCTTAGAAGCGACTAACGCACCTTCCAGTTCTTCCATGGTGAACGGAATGTCCATTTCTGGTAATCGCGTCTCAGGAATGATCACGGCGTCGATGCTCTCGTTCATAATATTCCCGGCAACTCTCGTGCAAAATTCATCAGCCACCTCGAGTTCTGTTTTTCCATGATAGAGTGCCAAAGCTTTAAAAGGGTACCGTTGTTGTGGAGAGGAGCGAAGACCACGAACTGTTCTCCAGATATATGACAGCGGTTTATGAGGGTCTAGAGATTCGCAGAATGCTTTCCAGCGTTCGCTCTCCAGTTTGTAAATGCGTCGTTGAATCTTTTTCTGGAGCCGCCTTGCTTCCCTCAGATCGTAAATTGATCTTGTGCGTCTGTATCGTCGTTCAGCACGCCTTCGTATAGCTCGTAATTTTTCCAGTTCGATGTCAAACTGTGTTACTTTAGACGAAAATGGTAATTTAAATTTGTACGCTTGCATAGCTTCCACTATGGTATTTTCCAGGCTGCAGGCGAGGCCTTCTTGGCAAGCGTTCTCAACACGCGATGCAAACATCGACCAGTCAGTGCCAATTGCAACACCGGAAGAGAAATTTTTTATGATACCATCGATCGTCACGTAGGTGGGTATGTGATCACTCCCATGAGTCTCAATATCGCAAAACCACTTAACTTTGTGACAGAAGCACCGTGACACCAATGTCAGGTCAAGGCAACTGCCATACGTGAGACCCCGCTGATATGTGGGGGCATCGTTCATGATGGAAAGGTCGTAATCAGAAGCGAATGTAACAATGTTCCGGCCCCTGGCATTCATCCTAGTGCTCCCCCAAAGCATGTGATGGGCGTTGAAGTCACTGGTGATGATCCAAGGCCCATCGGTTCTCATTAGGATGTCTTTTAATCTGTCGCAGTCAAATCGCGATGACGGAGATATATATCCACCAATAAGCGTGAACGAAACTGCAGTCTTCTTCACACGAAGACACACGTACTGATTGTCGTCATTTGAACTTATTGGGTCGAAAGATAAGGCAAGTCTGTGCGAATGTAAACAATTACTTTGCTCCGTTCTTCGCAAGCGGCTGAACAAAAAGCTTCATAACCGGACAATCTATAAGGCGTTGATACGTTTGGTTCACATATGACAAGTATAGGGAATTGATTGGCCCGAACAAATTGGCAAAAGTCCGAGATACGGGACTTCATGCCTCTGGCATTCCACTGAAAAATCGACGCACTTTTAACTGCAGTGCGGAAGTGGAGATTTTGTTGAGCCATTGTGCTTATACGAAGTTAGCAAGAACTGGATTCAGTGCATCCAGTATTTGCAGGGCACTCGTGGCAGACGGAGATCGTATGCTGCTCAGTAGCGTGCGAATCGTGGCAAATAATGATTGCACGATTGCAGCCACTTGCCTGTCTTGGTTGGAAAGATCTCGAACCGGGAGCGCGGACTGGCCGTCATGAAGCTCCTTCGGTTCGCTTGATGCTGCTTCCCTTTGAAGTGCAGGCCACTCCATGTCACAGTTAAGGTATGCTCACTGGCTTTGTCCTTTACAGCCTTTCCCACGGCATACGGTCTGGGAGGCAAAGGAGGTGGTACTGATGAGGGATCACGCAAACGTGTCGAGGAGGTAGCGGGCGTCCTCGAAGACCGACGTCGACGTGAACAACGCCTTCTGACTTTAGCTGCGGCTTCTCGATGAGATGAGTGATCGCGCACCATCTCCTTCAAGATGGCAATTTCCTTCTGAATCCGCGGGCAGTCCTTCGATGTGGCTTCATGGGATCCATTGCAATTAGAGCATTTCTTGACAGTTGCGACGCACTTATCCGCTTCATGGTGC